GACCCACGAGATGACACAGGGCTTGGGGCCAGCCTTCCGAGACGCCTCTCGGAAATAACACAAAGGAGCTCAGGGCCACAGAGGACAGGGAGTTTCAGAGATTGCCCTGTACAGATTCCTACTCCGGGGAGCAGGCAAAGCAGCAGGTAGAAACAGCTCAAGAACATTACCAGGACGATGCAATGAGGCTGGAGCACAAAGAATGCCAGCCCCGAGCCACTCACGTCAGGGTCTTCCCCCTTCTTTCCTCCATGTTCTGACTTCTCAGCACTCATTTGGGACCGCAGGAGTCAAAGTGCTCCCAAAGCGCCCATAGGACAGAGGCTTCCCCCCCACCCCTGCACCCAGGGCAGCCCTTCCCCTCTCCTACGTGGGAGGCATAGTAGAGCAGGAAGGGGACGCCTTTCCGGGCACAGTCAGTGATGAAGTCCCGGGAAAACTTGTTGTAGAGCGGTACTAGGTCGGGGAAGGAGACTGGCTGCTGCACAATACTCTGGTTCCAGAGCAGTGGGACCGGTACTAAGCCCTGGTCACAAGTCCCAAAACACTTGACGTCAGGTGGGAAGCAAGTGAGATTCTGGCATGGACCCTGCAGAGAGAGAGAGAGAAGGGGGCGGGGAGGGTAGGGTAGGAGGGAAAAAAAGGCACTTTGTTCTTTATCTGTGTGGCAGGACAGCGCAGGCAGGTTGCTCAGAGCCTCACAGCAGCTCCTCCTCCACAGACACCCTCGGGCAGCCCCTTCAGAAGCCCAAGGATGGGCCCCCCCCCAAGCCTGCCCGCGGATCAGGCTGTCTCAGCACCACTTCCTCCCGCCAGCAGCGCAGGCCTTTCCCCGTTTCCCGCACGCAGGCCCTAGCACACGGCTTGGCAAGGGGCCGACACCTCCAGGCACAACGCAACCCGCAGCCCGGGACACGGCCCTACCGCAGCAGCCCCTCACGGGACGCTCTGTAACCGGCACCCGCCTGCTCGGCTTGCGGCCTCCCCCCCGTTTTTTTTCCCCTCCTGCCCTGCGAGCCCCAGCTGGGCCCATCCGCCCTCAAGCAGGGGCCTCCCAGGGCAGCACCCTTGCGCAGCCCTGGCGCCTCCTCCTGCTCCCGGCCGGCCAGCGGGCACTCACCTGGTCGTGGGAATAGGGCACCCCCAGGAAGTGGTCAAAGCCCTGCTTGGTGGGCAGGAAGGAGCCGTTAACACCCAGCCCCAGGTGCCACTTGCCAACCATGGCTGTGGAATAGCCCGCCGCCTTCAGCACCTCCGCCACGGTCACCTCGGCGAGCGGCAGCCCC